CGGGTTTGGGGGGGGGGGGGGACAAAGGGACACGTTGGAAACATTCAGAATGGAATAGATGAATTTAAATCAATGTGAAGGTCAAGATGTTTCTTTCCTTTTGAATGATGGAAATCAGCATCTTGACCTTCACAGCCCAAATGTCTCTTAAAGTCAACAAGTAGATTAGTTGTTTCTAGCTGTGTTACATCACATCCACCCGATGAAATCCTGAGATGTAGCTCATGTATTAGTCTACTTCATCTTCTAATGTCAAAGTCATACACCCACAGCACAACTATAAAAACTCATGGCCAGACAGCCTGATGTCAGCCACCTACACGCCAGGAACAACCGCAGGCAATACTGAGGCAGAAAAGAAACAGAACAATATAAGAAAACACACATAAAATGATAAATAAAAACAATTAATAGATACCTAAAAGGCACAATGTATGTGTGTTTGTTTGTTTCTCCCAGTGATTTTCTATTTTTTTTAAATGATGTTCTATTAGAAGTAAAATAGAATATTTTGGTGATTTCTGGGCCCCAAATTAAAATTCTATTTGTAATACCCAGCTAACAACGTTCTCAGAACTTCAAGAGTTCTGCCGAGGTTCATTCAAAGTTATGAACAAACGACACATTAATGTTCAGAGTTATCTGGCGTGTGATAACGTTCTCAAAACGTCAGCACAAAAACGCTATTTATGCATAATTCGTGGAACGTTTTAGTTCTGAAACGTTTGGTTGGATGTTCACGTTCTTATTCGTTTCGGAACGTTCAGAGAACATTCCAAAAGTTACGTTCTCGTGATGTTTACAAAATTATTAAATGGAATGTTCCTTTAACGTTTGCAAAAAGTTCAGAAAGCATTAAGAAATTATGTTTTCTTTAGGCCTGCTTAACCCTTTATGGTGCAGAGTTGCCATATGGCAAGAATGAATTTCTACGCATTTCCTTGTTATTCTGAAAAAAATACAATATACTACTGCACTATGGGAATTGAAAGGGCCTTTAGGCAGACAATGCTGTGCTGTTTTTAAGTCACATGACATTTGAATGTCGGTCCAGAACTCTTTCTCACACCTGCTGAAGTGCTCCAGAAATTGCTCTATTAACCTCATTTCTATGCATCTCTACTCACAGGGGATTTTTTTCAGCATCTGTGTTAAGTAAATTAGATATTTTTATTCACAATTTAACTTTGTCTAACATAGTTTTACTGTAAATTGAGAAAATATCAATGTTACCATATGTTTGCAGTGATGGCATAAGAGCCATTTTTGGTTCCCCAAAGAACCTTTCACTAAAGAGTTCTTGAAAGAACCGTGTTTTTACATTGCGAAGGACATTTTGATAATCTAAAGAACCTTTTGTGGAACGGAAAGTTTCCGTAGATGTTAATAGTTCTTCATGGAACCATCGAAAGAACCTTTATTTTTAAGAGTGTTGTATTTATGTATAAATAACAAAATGATTTCTTCTTCTATATTACGGAAAGGCTAGTAGGAAGAGTGCAAATGTGATGAGCGTGAGGATGAGTTCAGTGAGTCTTCAGTGAAGGTTAAAGGATAGGGATCGACTTATTTTTGTTTTGCATGAGTTCCAAGTAAATCTATCAATTTCTAAAAAAATAAAAAATAAATGTTTTTCAAAAATCTGTTTTGATTTGTATGATTGAAGCCATTTCATGTAATAACTTATTTGAAAAAATATGTCATGGTTAGAACCATAGAAGGTTGATGGGACTTTTATCAAAAATGTTTTAGAACAGTTAAGATTTTTAATGTTTTTTCTTCTGCTCACCATGCCTGCATTTATGTGATACAAAATACAGCAAAAGCAGTAATACTGTAAAATATTTTACTATTTAAAATAACTGCTTTCTATTTGAATATATGTTCGAATGTAATTTATTCCTGTGATCAAAGCTGTATTTTCAGCATCATTACTCCAGTCTTCAGTGTCACATGATCTTCAGAAATCATTCTAATATGCTGATTTGCTGCTCAAGAAACATTTATAATTATTATTGTTGAAAACAGTTGTGCTGCTTAATATTTTTGTGGAAACAGAATTCTTTGAATAGCATTTTTTTAAATAGATGTTATAAATGTCTTTACTGTCACTTTTGATCAACTGAATGCGTCCTTGATTAATAAAAGTATTAATTTCATATGAATGTCCAGGTGTTCACCTGCAGGTGAGGCCAGGCCGCTTCTAACGTGGGTTCATCCTCCTCGGGGTCAAACTCTGCGCCGGTTGGGTTGGATGACGGAGGTAACGCCCTAAACAGGTTGACTGCAAACTGAAACAAATCACATAAAACGAAAAATGTGTGTATAGATGCATATCTGATTACTGAGAACAGACTAAAGGAGCGAGTCTTTATCCATGAACCGTCCATTCAGCTTGTTGATTAATGAAACGTGGCAGCACATGCACAAATTAATCAGAAGAAAAGGGTTTAATCCTCCCGATCGCAGCACTTTGAATTTCCTGGCTTTAATCATCAAAGTGTGTGTGTGTTTTCAAGGGCATGTGAAAATTTTGTTGTATGCATTTGTCATTTTTATTGAATTAAATTTTTTTTTTCATTTAAATGTTAAGTTTTGCAATTTTGTTGTATGCATTTGTCATTTTTATTTAATCTCTTTATTTTCAAAATGTAAGTAAGTAGTATTTATAAAGTTTTAGCTTTTAGTTTTGGATCTGTTTTTAGTTGTTTTAATACTACAATTGATTGCTTCTGTTGTCCTCATTTGTAAGTCGCTTTGGATAAAAGCGTCTAATAAATGACTAAATAAATAAAATAAATAAAATAAATAAATTGTCCTAGTAAATCGCAGACGTTATAACTGGTTACAAGCAATTCATTAATTATTAATTAAATAATAATGATAATAAGCTTGATTTAAACAATGCTTACGATTCCGTTCGTTTTAATAAATAGAGTAATAGGTTTTCACAATACTGCGTGCGTATGAGCGAGACACGCAACGCTGCTCCGCGTCTGCGCATGCGCAGTTCTGACCCAAACATGGCGACGGAGAGCTGCGAAAAGTGCTGAATTCTGTCTACATTTCGACAAAATCGCGAAGGTTGGTCGACATTTCCGCACTTATTCTATCCTCTCCCATATGTTAGGATATCAGTCGTTATTATCGGATGGCAACGGTGAGCTTTTTCAAAGGCTGCATATGATAATTCAGGCGTTTATTTCGCCTGGTGTTCAGCACTTTCTGCGCTGCTGGCGATCACTGATGTTGTTATTTCTGAAGAGTCTGATCAAATAACGCGCAGATGTTTATGTTTCGTCGATATTGATCATATCGCTGATGATGTGTATGATCGGGGGGGGGTGTAGTCATCGCTGTTTGTAAACACACTCATATTTTCACTGCCAAGCTCAGATAGCAGTATTACTGCGTTATTACATCAGTAACGCACTCGTTTACCACAGTTTAAAACACGTAAAGTTTACGCTAAAATAAAACACTTAAAAGAACCACAGTTGTCCCATGTATTTTGTTGGTACTGTGGTAATACCATGTTTTTTTTACCATAGTATTATTTTAAGTATTTTGAAATTATTTTGAAAAATTAATATAGTAATTATTAAATACTATCATAGTGTCTCTCTGTACCAGCTAAAGTGTAAAATGAAGAAACTAATATGTTTTTACATTAATTGTTTATTATATATGTGGTTCTGATATTCTGTCAAATGTTTCTATTTATATAACAGATTTAATGTTTTATGTTTTCCTGCCAAATGTTTCTTTTTATATAATAGATTTTCTTTCTAAATGTGTGTTTTCAATGGATTACTTACAATTTTATTATATATTTTACTTTTTAATGACTAAATAATATAATAATATATATATGCACTATAGTGCTATATTAATTTGTAATTATGATACATTTAATGTGTAACTATGTATATACTTTTTTATATAATAAATAATATGATAATATTTGACAAGTTATACAAGTTATATAAGTTTATTATAAATGTATTCATTCTTGTTAAATTTACATTTAAATTGACTTTTTATTTAAAATTGTATATATATATATTATATAAAATTTTAAATAAAAGTTTTATATAGCATAATTATTTTTTTTTACGCTTTGTATCACAAAAAAAAATAAATAAATAAATGTTGTACAACTGTGGTAACTGTAGTACTTTAGTGGAAAATAACGATTAATTCAGTAAAAATGAATATGGGATCTTCTTCAAAAAGTGCAAGAAACTTTCAGAATCTTTGTCTTCTTTTTTCTTTTCTTTCTTTCTTTCTTTATTATTATTATTATTATTGTAAATAAATGTGGCAGCTGTGAGTTTTCAGGTTGCATGATAAATGAATGTAAGGGAAGAGTGCAGCTCGTGCAGGTGTTTGTGAGTGATGTAAATGTCTGGTGTTTGCTGAATGTTCTGCTGTGATGTGTCTGTGATGCAGAGCAGAGCGAGCGAGCGCTGTTGTGTCTGACGGAGGCAGGGACGCATGCTGTATGATGCAAACCGCTTGAAATCAAACATGCAAATGAAAGCAGTCCTGAGCAGCGTGCGTGCTTGTTGTTGTGAATGACGAAAAGCAAGAGAATCACAGATTGACTCCGCCCACCACACCCAATCACGACACTAAACCCCGCCCACCTGTCAATCAGCTCTCAAACGAGTGAAGCGGTGAATCAAACTTTATCAAACGAAGCTTCGAAATGAACATTTCTGTGAAGGAATGATTCTGGAAGTGTGGCGGATCGGACTGCTGGTACTGTGTGTTATGTTTGTGGGCGGACGAGTCTCAGGAATGTGACGCCTCAGGGAATGATGGGATTAGAGAGATTCCTGAGGGTCGTTTCAGGACGTTCATTGATCAAGATTCCTTTGCTGTGGGAATCTCAGGGGAATTATGGGATATGTTATGATAAAGCGCTTTGTAGGCGATTCAGAGAGATGGGTTTTCATCCCTGAGATGTGCTGAAATGTTCATTTAATGATAATATTAATAGTAATTTTAACCTTAATTACTTTGTTTAATAAAATTCAATATAATGATATGTAATAACAATTTCTTTTATATTCAATATTTAATAAACACTATAATATTTTAAAAAAATCAATTGATCAAATGCTTTGAATAATTTGATGAGTTTTATAAGTAAGATTTATAAGTAAAAACTTATTTGCATAAAGTGGAACTAACTTTTTTGTGTAATTCGGTCATAATAATATTTTTACATGCAGTAATTGTGACATTAAATTCCGTTTTACCTAACCTTTGGCCAATTTTCCATCACTATTTTACATAAACTGTTGCACACTGAAAAAAAAAATTGGTGTTGAAAATTTTCAATCGCAAATTGCTAGTAAATTTCATAAATAATTACAAAGAAATGTCAAGTAACTCATTGAATTAAATGTGAAATATAAAAAAGTAAAGTAACAAAGGCTGAAATAGTATTTTCTTGTAAAAAAAAAAAAAAAACTCCAGAAATCTTGTATTTACAACTTTGAAAAAAACATTTTTTTTCAGTAAATTAAATTTTTTAAGTAAACATAAACAATTTATGTAAATTATTGCATTCACCTCTCAGTTTGATTTACATTTGAAATTCTGCTTATATTTATATGTTTGTATATATTTATTATATGCATATATTCTGCTTATATTTATAGCATCCGTTTACTGCTTTTTGTTAGTTTTAGGTTGCTGTTTTTTATATATATGACTCTTATCCAGTTATTTAAATAATAAACAGAATAACTGATTATCAAAACCATTTCAGGAATATGATCAGATTTATGGGTCAGGAGAGATTCCTAATGTTAGTTTTAGGAGCTTTTTATCTGATTTTTATCCAATTAATCAAGATAAAAACAGATAAATCAAATAAACATTATCACAACATTTTTTCCAAAAGAAAAATAGTTTTCAGTATTTTTTTCCCATAAACTATCATTTGACTGTAAGTTCATCATTCTGACGCAAAACAGTGACGTGTGTGTTTTGAGTCATTTTGCCTATTGATTTGCATTGAATACTGTGTTTTTTTTAAGCGCTGTGTACAGATAGTTTGCTCTCTGATGTAGAGAAAAGCTGAAATCTAAAATAACATCATTAGAAGTGACTGAGAATCTGATCTCTGGTGTATTTTACAAAGAAATATCTGTCAGAATTCATCCCAAAATCAAAAGGAAAAATTATGTGATATATAAAGTCTGTTTAAGGACTCTTAAGATTTTTTGCATTGTAATATTATTTTCACGACAGTTAAGCATATGTAAAAATGCTACAATGCGACATAAATTAAACCATGATGAATTTTAAAATAATAAAGTAAATAATAAAAAAAAATCTTTTGAATTTGAGGTAAAAAATGACATTTAATGAGATTCATGCATATTTAGTTAATGGTTTTGGTTCCGATTTCAACGTAATGAATGTTTTATGAATCTTAAGGAAGTTCTGATTCTATTTCTTCCCAGTTTCACTAATATTACAGCTGAAATCTGAGCAAATTAAATGTGATTCAGAAATGGTTCGCAGTGCGAAACGACTCGTTAGCAGGAGAATCGATTAGCGATGACCTATGACCCCGCACACATCATTAGAGCTGCAGGACAGCTGCTGTTTTAATGAAGGATCTTTTGATCTCACAGACGATCAACTCCACACAAAACTGACCATAACAGAAATGTGTTACTACACGGTAATAAAAAATGATGGAATTAAAACAAAGATTATTCGAGTAAGTTTTATAAGAAAATACTGTATAATTTCTACTTAATTTAGTGTTTAATTGAATGTTACTTGCCATTTTCTTTGTAATTGTTTTGTCAAATTTACTAACAATTTCATAGTGAAAATGTTTTCTACACTTTTTTCCAGTGTATTAAACAGTGAAAAATTGATAAAAGTTAAGATATTAAAATATCTGACAACAAATGTCATTCATAAGTTGAATTTGTGCTATTTTATTGTAAGATTTATAAAAATAAAAAAATATTTTGCACACAATGGATCTCATGAAACATGAGCAGAGCCGAGTTTCTGTGTAATTTGAGTATACATTTATTTTATACATAATTGTGACAAATTTAGACAAATAGTTTTTAATAATATTTAAAATTAGATTAAATTTTTGTGTTTTGTTTTCATTTTAATTTTAGTTCAAGTTTAGTAGTTTTTGTTTTTATTAAGTTTTTATTAGTTTTAAGTTTATGTAGACTTTGTTATTTTACTACCTCAAGTTTAACTAAACAAAAATAAGAAATGCTGGCTTGGCAACTAGCTGAAATACAGTTAACTTTTTTAGATTTTATTTCAGTTTATTTTATCTTATTTCAAGTAATGATTTTTTTCTATGCTTTTAGTTTTAGTTATTTTACTACTTCAATTTAAACTAAGTGAAAATGAAAAATGTTGCCTTGGCAACTAGCTGAAATAAATGTACAATTGTTTTTTTTTTGTATATTTAATTTTATTCCAGTTAATGTTTATTTCAAGTAATGACTTTTATTTATATATTTTAGTTATTTTAAAATGTAGTACTTCAAGGGAAACTAAACAAAGATGAGAAATGTTGGCTGGGCAACTAGCTGAAATAAAATTAGTTTACTTTTTTACATTTCATTTTATTCCCGTTAAAGTTTTAAAAATTTTATTTCAGGTAATGAAACGTTTTTTCTATGGTTTTAGTTTTAGTTACTTTAATTAGTATAAATAAACTAAGTGAAAATGCTGCCTTGACAAATTAGTGAAATAAAAAATTATATTTTATATATTTTATTTTTTATATTTTATTTCCTTTAAGGTTTTTATTATTATTATTATATTTCCGTTAAAGTTATATATTTTAGTTATTTTAAAATGTAGTACTTCAAGGGAAACTAAACAAAGATGAGAAATGTTGGCTGGGCAACTAGCTGAAATAAAATTAGTTTACTTTTTTACATTTCATTTTATTCCCGTTAAAGTTTTAAAAATTTTATTTCAGGTAATGAAACGTTTTTTCTATGGTTTTAGTTTTAGTTACTTTAATTAGTATAAATAAACTAAGTGAAAATGCTGCCTTGGCAAATTAGTGAAATATAAAATTATATTTTATATATTTTATTTGTAATATTTTATTTCCTTTAAGGTTTTTATTATTATTATTATTATTCCGTTAAAGTTGATTTTATTTCAGGTAATGAAACGGTTTTTCTGTGGTTTTAGTTTTAGTTACTTTAATTAGTATAAATAAACTAAGTGAAAATGCTGCCTTGGCAAATTAGTGAAATAAAAAATTATATTTTATTTTTAACATTTTATTTCTTTTAACTGTGTAATTTGAGTATACATTTATTTTATACATAATTGTGACAAATTTAGACAAATAGTTTTTAATAATATTTAAAATTAGATTAAATTTTTGTGTTTTGTTTTCATTTTAATTTTAGTTCAAGTTTAGTAGTTTTTGTTTTTATTAAGTTTTTATTAGTTTTAAGTTTATGTAGACTTTGTTATTTTACTACCTCAAGTTTAACTAAACAAAAATAAGAAATGCTGGCTTGGCAACTAGCTGAAATACAGTTAACTTTTTTAGATTTTATTTCAGTTTATTTTATCTTATTTCAAGTAATGATTTTTTTCTATGCTTTTAGTTTTAGTTATTTTACTACTTCAATTTAAACTAAGTGAAAATGAAAAATGTTGCCTTGGCAACTAGCTGAAATAAATGTACAATTGTTTTTTTTTTGTATATTTAATTTTATTCCAGTTAATGTTTATTTCAAGTAATGACTTTTATTTATATATTTTAGTTATTTTAAAATGTAGTACTTCAAGGGAAACTAAACAAAGATGAGAAATGTTGGCTGGGCAACTAGCTGAAATAAAATTAGTTTACTTTTTTACATTTCATTTTATTCCCGTTAAAGTTTTAAAAATTTTATTTCAGGTAATGAAACGTTTTTTCTATGGTTTTAGTTTTAGTTACTTTAATTAGTATAAATAAACTAAGTGAAAATGCTGCCTTGGAAAATTAGTGAAATAAAAAATTATATTTTATATATTTTACTTTTAATATTTTATTTCCTTTAAGGTTTTTATTATTATTATTATATTCCGTTAAAGTTGATTTTATTTCAGGTAATGAAACGGTTTTTCTATGGTTTTAGTTTTAGTTACTTTAATTAGTATAAATAAGGTTTTTATTATTATTATTATTATATATTTGAAGTAATGAAAATGTGTTTATTTATGGTTGAAGTTTTTGTCAATAGCCCTGGTTGGAGAGACATTGAGTGCTTTAGCACAGAAACACTGACATTATTCTGTGGCCTGCGAAAGTGAAACCCGAGCGGAGGAGAGTCAGGGTGAAAGAGCGATTATGACGGCAGACTGAACAACTGAACGACAGAGCGAGAAGCTCACTGGAGACGCGAGCGGAATGAACTCTTTAATTGCTTGACATAAATAACCAACTCATTTTTTCCGTCTATAATTGTCTGCCGGCGTGTGGATTCAATTATGATCTAACAGGACTCCTCTATTGTCGTCAGATCCGTCCGTCTGAGCTCAGCGCAGGAGATTTCGCTCATCAGATACTTTTCGTTCTTTGCCGTATGAAGGAAGTGTGTGTTTGCGTGGGCGGCTGAAATGAAGTGTGTGTTTGTGTATTTTGGGAAGTTTCCATCCCTCAGCAGAGAGTGTGTTTTCTGTTTCATGTCTCATAAGAGAGAGATCTGTGTCCTGTGCCGTGAGTCACAGTTTAACTTGAATAGTTCTTCTCATGAGTTCACATGGCTCTTACTGAATCTGCATGATGAGGACGGATTACTACCCCGATGAAGCTATTTGACAAAAAAATACAGCTTCATTTACACACATTACAATTCATTTTCAAAATTGTGTGTTTTGCTTCCTCAAGCATCAGTGACTGTACATTTTGTGATAAATTGTGTTAATGTGATTATTATTTTGTCTTGAGAAAAACTAAAATATCAGTGTTTTCATTTAAAAAATAACTTGTATGTGTGTGTGTGTGTGTACACACCAAAATATAATATATAGGTATCAAAATTTATATCAAAATACAGTAAAAAAAAAAAAAAAAGTAATTTTGTAAAATT